AAAAGACTATGGAATAAAAATTAAAAATAATTTAAACAAAAAATGGAAAAGAATTACAACAACGTTATAAAAATATAGTTGAAAAAGAATGAAAAAGAAATTTTTAAGAACGGAATTTGTTTCAGAATTTTTGATGATTCAGAATGGAATTTGAATTTACAACCGAATGCGTTTAAATGAGTCTTGACAACGATCCTGCTATATAGAACCGTGACAACTTGGAGTTGATCAACCATATCTTGTCTAAAATAATTATAGAAAAAGTTGACTTCTTATCCTCAGAGTACCGTGATTCTGGAGGCAAACTTCGTCGAGCTCAATCAGACCCGTTCTTTTGAACGGAAAATAACGAAGGAAGATAGTATTACGCGATTGGCTTCAGTTTCAAAAGAAAACGAAGCATGTACCTTGCTATTTTTTTGTTTTATTTTTGTACCTTGCAATTTTATTTTTATTTTTGTAGAGCATCTTATGTAAATAAATAGGATTCTGGAACTGGCAACGTGCCAAAACCTCTCTTAGTTAGATTTTGGGTTTTGGGTTCACCAAACAATACCAGACAGAAAAAGAGAAGTGGATCCAAGCTCTACAACAAACAATTTAATTTATAAAGTTATCTCTCTTCTAGGTTCGTGTGTAATAGAAAATTTAAATACACAAAATTAAAGCAATAGTTATAAATACTTGAATCACACTTATCACGTGATATCACTTATCAGCAAACCAGTTAAGCGGTTCTTAGCATTCATTCCCACGCATGTTCATTTTGCAGCTTTCATGGTTAAAATGGTTTAAAAATGTTTTTGTAAATATTGAGTCGCAAATTATAAATATTGTGTAGCAGAAGCAAAAAAATTGAAAATTAAAAGTTTTCTAATAGTGCAATAAGAAAATTTTTTTGAAATTCTTGAAAAGAAAAAAATTTTTGCTTTAGAAGAAATAGAGTTTTAGTAAGGTTTTTAAAATTGTTGTAAATTTTTTGATAATCCTTTAAAGAGCTGTATAATTAAAAAAGTTAAATTTCATCTAAATTGTCATCAAGACCAGTCTATAATTTATTTCTTGTTAGCAAGATGCTTTATAATAATTATTGTCATATGTCGAATAGAGGATAAACTGCAGAAGACTGAAGCTACAGAATGATCAGGTTTTAGCTTAAATGCCCCGTGATTTTTTTTTCTCGCTACAAGCACTAAAACATTTGATGATGATCACGTTGTTTATAATTTTAATAGCTTCTAGAAAACAATATTTGCAAATATTTTCAGTTTTTTTTTAATGACAGTTTTTAAGCAATATTCTTGGATTGTTACCCAATATAAATTTGAATTACAATACATAAGTTGTTTTGTGCTTTGAATAAGTTTAAGTTATATCTATCCAATTATTGACAAAGTGTTACATTCTAGTCTATTGCTAATGTCTTCTCAACTATTAAGTTCACGCCTATATATATTCCTCAACGTTCAACTTTGGGTTTCCTTCTTTTTGAGTACTTGTAACACTTATGATAAGTACTCAAAAACATTTTGCTGATGAAACCAACCTGCTGATAGTAGATAAATTTTGAATAAAGGTGGTAAATTTTTAAATTGGTCCAGTGGTAGTGATCAAATAAAATATGATTACAGTTAAATAAAGTATCCTTCAATGCCAAAATATCCTTTAAGCCTTAAGGCCAAAAAATTAATTAAAACTTAATTTTAAAATCAGGGTTCGAAAGCTAAATATATTGTTAATGAAATAAATCATTTTATATAAAAATCTTCTATTCATTCTACAAATAAAATCCATATGAAGCAAATTTCGAGTCGAGCAACAAAGTCGAGCAAATGGAATGCTTACCAAAATAAGGCAATGATTACGTCTTTAGCATTTTTAACTCTCTTTTTTCCTATGGTTTTTAGATATAAAGAAAAAGTTCGTCCATTCATAAAAACAAACGTTATAAATCTTCAAAATAAATTATTAAGAATAATTCATTTTCAACCAAAGAGTTTTAATTTTGACATACTAAATTTCTGAAATTTTAAAGCTTAACAAGGCCATCTACTTGTCAATTTATGTACATGTATTGGAAACTATCCGCAATAACATGCCCAGCTACTTCAATGGCTACTTTAAATTTAAAAATAATGTTTATGGCTATAATCTTCGATCAATATCTTGTTGTCGTATTCCTCTTTGCCTCTTAAACAAACACGCAAGTTAGGGAACAAAAAATCGACCATTTGCAGTGATCGGACTTCTGCAGTGATGGTCGGTTATCAGTCGGTCGGTGATTAGGTTGCGCGGTGATGCATTGGTGGTGACAGTGGTTAGAGAAATGCGATGATTGTCGGTAATTGTTGGTTAGCGGTTTTCAGTGTGGTGATTGTTGGTTTTTGCGGTTTTTTGCGGCAATTGACGGCGATTTTTCTTTCCCTAACGCAAGTATGTCATTAGTTTAATCACATATCAGTCAATTCACTCTTAGAACTCTATTTTTGTTGAAAATAATAAAATATACTCTAAAATAACAAACAGAAATGCCTTCATAGCTCATGTAAAAGTTTATTTTTAATAAAAATAATGAACTAATTATAATCCAATTGTTTTCTTTTAATTATTCTCTTGGATTAAGTTTTTATATATTTATATTTACTTCTCCGTTTATTCTTAACCATTTTTAATAGATAAAATGATTCAAGAAATTTTAATGCTGTTGCTTATGCTCATTAGTTAAATTTTGTCGCTACCCTAGTCACCACTACCCTAGTCACCACTACCCTAGTCACCATAATATTTTAAGTTGAAATTCTTTCCTAGTATTTATAGTAACTATTTTTATATATTAGTGGCAAAATAATTATATTATAAATAAAGCAGCCGGTGCCCAGTGGTAGCGCACTTGCCTCAGAAACGTAAGATCCCTGGTTCAAAAACCACCTCTGGGTAAGTTTTGCGACATCGGTTTGGAAAGAGGCATGAATTTCCTATTAAATACTCTTCCGGGATGCTCTGTGATAAGACCGTATAGATTTCTTGGGGCACAAGAAAAAAAAATGAAAAGATTTATCAGATAAGTTTTTTGCAAATGTGTAATCAGAATCAGCCATTTAAATCTGCAAGAAAAATAATCAATGCTCTCAACGAAAGAGAAAGCCTTTAATAATTAGCAGCAAAAGATTTCTAAGCATTAGAACAATATTGCATGTCAACTTATTCCCAACAAGAAATTACATACTATTTATAAATATTTATACGGTAAATATTTATAAATAGTATGTGAATTAATAAATGTTTTATAAATATTTATAAAAGAATGAAGTTTCATGGTTGATTAATTGTATATGTTAGAAGTGCAAATGAATATAATGTTCAACAAGCATCTCGGTGATATTGAATTTCAGATGTTACAGGATGCAAAAGATTATGTAGTGGTTTTTCACTGTTACTAAAAAAACCACTAGATAATCTGTATCTGTATATAAAAATATATATACTATGTGTTCCTACTAAAGATATGCATATATGTTCTTACTAAAGATATAATTTGTATGTTCTTACTAAAGAGCCCACTTGCAGTTTAAAAAATCTTTAAACATTAAAGGCATCATCACAAATAATAATCCACTTTAATTTGAGAAGTAATGTAAGATTGATAAACGCGTAATCTTTATGTTCTCAGAAACACATAATTTTGTGTGTGTGTGTGTGTGTGTGTGTGTGTGTGTGTGTGTGTGTGTATGTGTGTGTGTGTGTGTGTGTGTGTGTGTGTGTGTGTGTGTGTGTGTGTGTGTGTGTGTGTGTTATTAAGGTATAACCAAGAATACATTCTCTCATTGAAACAAATTAGCCTGTCAAACTTTGAGAAAAGTTTTAACAACAAAAAATAAACTTTAAGAAAAGTTTTAACAGTGAATGTGACTCTGGGAATTCATAAAATTTCATATAAAAAGACTCTAGGAATACAATAAAAAGACTCTAGGAATAAATAAAATTTTATGTCTTTTTATCGTAATTTGTAATCCTAGAGTCCTAGAGCCTATTTCTTGAATTTATTCTATCTATGAATTTCTGCACCAATTTGTTAGCAACTGCTACCTAATTCACATTGGATACAAAAGCCTTAAACTTAAACACTGTTAAAACTTTTCTTAAAGTTTATTTTTTGTTGTTAAAACTTTTCTCAAAGTTTGACAGGCTAATTTATTTCAATGAGAGAATGTATTCTTGGTTATACAATTATAGAGAAACAAAAAACAACAAAAAATTTGTAATTCATGAGCTCCATAATTGAAGATTTAAAATTTCCATAAAATTTCATTTTTAAAAACATTTGAAAACAATGCAAAAAAAAAAAAAATAGTTAAAATATGTTACTAAGTAAATTTGCAGGTCAATTATTGTGTAAGTTTTAATAAACATGTCGAAACTTTTTTTTAGGATTATTGATTTTAATTGATAAATAAAAAAAAAACTGACGCAAATTTTTATTATTATTGAGTCAGCAATCAGAACGGAGAATAAATAATAAACCTTCCGAAATATTTGTTCCAAATGTTTAGCATTTGCTTCGCATGTTTCTAAGAACTTGAAAAAAACAAACTAAAAAGGCAATTTTATATCAAACAAATTTAATATAACATTGAATAATAAATATATCTTTTAAAGAATCTTTTTGTTAGATACAAATTTTACAACATAAATTTTATCCCTTATTATTTTTTATTTTTTATTATTTTTATAAGAATATTATTTGGATTTAAAATAAATTTCATAACGTATTGAAATCAAAAAGTTAAAAAAAAAAAAAAAATGGAAAAAATTGACAGAAAATATTTAAAACAAGAGCTTAACAAGATTTCATAAATATCAAATAGCAAATTGGACAAATTATTTTTTCATAGTTTTTTGCTAACTTTATATTGTTGGTAGAAATATTATACAAGATTTCTTCTCTGCTGGAATGTAAAAAGATAATTTTTATTATAAAAAAAAGAAAACGAAAAAAAAAGTTTATCTAAAGGTAATTTATTTTATTGAAATTGTGAATTTTCTTTGGAAAGTTATAAAAGGTTTTTTTCTTATTTATCTTGTTTAAAATATTTCCTTTCGTCATTTAAATCATCTTCATTTATTTGTTCGTTTCCGAGCTGATTTATTTCTTTTTCTTCTTCATCGGGTTCAGGTTCGTTATTTGGTTTTACACAATACCAAAAGAATTTTTTAAACATGCATTCAAGGCCAGGTGCACACCCACAACCTAAATTGACGGCGTCCTAAAAAGAATTTTTAGCTCTAAATCCTTTATTATTTCTTTTAAAAAAATTGTTTTTAAGAACTCAGTTTTTATTTTCTATTTATCTATTTTATTGAACATAATTTATTATTTAAATAAAATTTCCGTGTGGTTGCCGTTTTTACATTTTTTTATATCTGTACTCTACAAAATTATCTACTATAAAAATTATCTCTTTTTAATGCCATTATCTATTTTTCTGTTTTATCTCTTTCAGATGTTTTTTTTATTATTTTGTTTGTTATTGCCTCCTTTACCGTCATTTTAATGTTATTGTTACTAACATTTATGCTATGTAATATCTTTGAAAATTTTAAAACACGTTTAAATTTTTTAATTTTCAAAAAGTTTGATAAAAACTATATAAATTTACAAAAAATCTATATTTATATTATGCAGTATTCTTTAAGAAGACCATCAACTCTAAGTAAAAAAACGCTTTAACAGTTCAAAAAAACTCCCAAAAACAAATCAGAAACAACTATTGTCAACTATTGTCAATTACAATTGAATATTTTTTTATTTAAAAGTGTTGAACATAAACAATCAGTAAAAACACTACAAACATTATACAACTTTCTTACCCCAAACATGCATCTTTCTCCTTCAGGTATATAACTCATGCAAACGCTTGCTGGGGGCAAAAAATATTTCTTGCAACATTGCCCAGGGCCACACTCACCAGGTTTACAGAACTAAACATATGTATATATATTGTTATAAATTTTGTTACTTTATAAAAGTTATTGGCTGTTTTATAAAACAAATACTTGCATTAGTAAAAATCGCAACAAATAATATAAGTCAACTTACAAAACGTTTTGTCATTTCCCTGTATCCAAAGACATTATATAAGGACAAAATACAAAACAAGGTAACGGAAAACACAACTTTTCCCATTTTTTTTTCAACGAAATTGATTTTGTTGATGAATTAGTTTGTGATGCTTCAACTATAACTAAAGGATGAACTCTAAAACATCTGCGTTGTTATAAGAAAAAAGTTTACAAATAGCCAATAGAAAAACAAAATAATAGAGATATTTACAGATAGAAGAAATCTGTCCATTATTGATGTAGAAATGTGTAATTACTCAAAATTAATCACTATAAAAAAGTTTGTTTCCATTGCTTCAACAATAGTTTCAACATAAAAAAAGCATTAGTACTAAGAACTAAATGAACTTATTCCAATAAATAATTAAACTGATTTTCCTTCAATACCATATGTCTTTTTTAAACAAACAAATTCTTTGTTACGAAAAAGATAATTACTTGAGTATTCTTTTAAATAAACCGATTTTCGTAAAACAAACGCCGAACAAAAGCCAGAAAAGGAACTCCATCCCTCAAAGCGACATAAGCTCCGATAAAAAAAGAATAAAAAAGAATTAAAAATGGAACATAAAAATAGATGCTTTTAAGAAAAATGTGTATGAGATAAAATCAGCAATGTGTTGATGTAAACGCCTAAAGGCTTTTTGTCCCAGGCTTTTAAGACATCATAAAGTTATAAAATGAAAAAAAAGTTTAAAGATTTTTTTTAAAATTGAAATTAAACAGGAAAAAACTGATACTTCATCAATTTTTTTAAAATAAATTTTCAATGTTTTAAAAACTTTAAGAAAAATGTTGTTATGACAATGTTACTTTGACGATGTATTGATATAATTTATAATATAATATATTCCTGATTTTTTTTTCTTCAGTTTACAATTTTAGTTGTATTCATTTCATATAAACACATCACATCATGTTCAATTCATAAGTTCTAATACATAAAAATAAGTCGTAATACAATTACTTAAATGATACAATTCAGCATACTAACAATATTAAGATAAATTTTCGAAAGAAGATTATAAGGATTTTATCATCGCAACCTTAAAAAGTAAAAGTATTTATTTTTAAGATATATATATATATATATATATATATATATATATATATATATATATATATATATATATATATATATATATATATATATATATATATTTATTAGAGAATTTTTTTAACTTAATTTTAAAAACAGGAAGAGTAATGAGGATCAGAAACAGGAAGAGGATCAAAATTTGAGAGGATCAAAATTTAGTAATATTATTTTATTTCAAAGATGGGGTGCACGATGTGATTTAGTTCTACCAAAAGGTTCATTTAAAAAACTATTCTTTCTCAATGTGTATTTATTTATTGGTTTTAAAGAAAAAAGGCCGTTAAAAATAAATAAAGATAAATCGTTTTTCCATATAAAAGTAAAACATGAGATATTAAATATATTCAGTTTATAAACATCTAGAACCTTCATATAATCAAAAAAATATTTTGAATGTGAAAAGCAATCCGCATAATTAACTGCGCGGTTGCATGTTTCTGACGGCGATAAGAATTTTGTAGTTTACTTTTCTCTGTACTTCCCAAAGCGATGATTGCACAATTTATATAATTGTGTATAAATGAATAATAGAGTTGCGTTAAGTTTTTATAGCAGTATCGTTTCATCAATATAAACTTGAGGCATATTACTTGGTAAGAAACGTTTTTTTGCAGTGGAGTGAAAAATAATCCGTTTTGTTTTCTTAATATTTAAAGTAGCTTTGAACCAATTCGAATTTTGATTGAGTTCTTTGTTTGTAGTTGAAAAGGTCAGGGTTATGTTATTTAACTCAATAAGCCTCACCAACTTTAGTTTTTGTGGGTAAATTTTTAATTGCTGTAAAAACGTTAGCAGTTCTTCTCTAATTTTTATTCACGTAAAGTTAAGCAATTTACTCAGTAATTGTTCAGCTTTACGTGAATAAAAACTTAACGAAATTAACTAAAGTTTTTATTCTCGTAAAGCTGACCAATTACTGAGTAAAAGCAATTGCTTATTTTTATTCACCCAGCCTATTGTTTAAAAAATTGTTTCTAATGTTTAAAATCTTTTTAAAACTTTTATAAAAAATACTTTGACTGCTATTATGCATTCTAATATCAATCAGGCTGCCATAAGACTGGAGACTACTTCGACTGAGAATTCTGACTGAAGATTGTTAAATCTTCTTGGATTATCTTAAAAACCAAATAAAGTCTGTCACAGACTTTTTAACAGTCATTTTGTGTTATGACTTTTAAAAGTCATTTTGTGTCATAGATTTAACATATCAATAAAAGAAATAAACTTTTTATGGTTTGAAATTTTAAAACTTTTTTAAAAAGTTTTTTACGCTCACATTTTTTGCTAGATGCTGACAATATTTACTGATGAAATCTAGTAACAGAGCTTGTGTGGCTTTTCACCTGTGCTGGTGCTTTTTAGTAAAGTTTTGTTCATAAGAGTTTTTCTGATAGACTTGAGTAAAAAAAAGTATTCAGCATTATCTAAAAGTAAAAACAAAAAAAAGAGAATTTGTGACTTTAGAAATACGGTTGGCTATCAAATTAAAAAGTGTAACATTGTGAAATAAATTTTGATTTTTTTATAAAAACATGTTGTAATCCTTTAAATATCTAAAAAACATGAAAATAGTTTTTTAAAAGCCGTAGTCTGGATGCAAACACAAACACAGGCAAACACACACACACACATACATATAAACACACACACATATTGATTTAAAAGTTATATATTAGGTCATATTTTAAGAGGCTGGGGTATTACCCGTGCAAATTATAAATTTGTACAACGTGTTTATAATAGCTCATCAAATGCTTTACAAGTAAAATAAACAATGAAAAGTTGCCGGGTTGGCTTCTGCTTATCTTTTATAAAAACAAAAAAATTGCACTTGGTCACATGATCATTTTAAGAAATCAGACTTTTAAAATTTTTAGTAAAAAATTGTTTATTGATAACATTAATAAAGTTTCAGTAAAATTATTTTTGATTTCCTTCGAAGAAAATTCCTATGTTCTGTTTTGTGTATTGTTATTTAAAAAGTTACTTCAATTCATGTCTTTAGCGTTATCATATACTTTGAACTTACCTTAAAATACCTGATAAAAATCACTTTGACAGTCAAAGACGAAAAATGATATCTAGTTAATGATTTATGATATATAGTTAATTTATTTTTGATCGCCTTCAAAATAAAGTTTCTCGGAATATTTTTATGTGTAACCACTGGGCTACCATTTATGTGTAAATCACTGGTTCACCAGTTAAGTGTAAATCACTTGTTTACTAGTGGTATTGATTAGAAGGCGTCTAAAAGGTGTGGACATCCAAACCTTAAACAATTTACAAAAAAACTCTATAAGTTACACGAGCAGTACCCTCAACAATGTTTTCATAGGTATTAATTATGATAAAAATGACTGGAGTAGGTAGCAGGGGCGGGTTTAAGCGAAAGACAAAAAGGGCAGCACCTCTCCTTTAGGATGCATATATGGAAGCTTTAATAGATATCAATAATTTTTACATATTAGTAAAGAAATTAGTTTTAGTTTAACTATAATGTCCCTTCTTCACGTGACACAATATGAAAAAAGGCTTTGTGCGTTTTTTAAAAAAACTTAAACCATTTTAAACATTTTGTGGGTGTTACAAATCATTGTAACATCCACAAGATGTCCTTAAATTCTTAAGTCTATTACAAATGTTTTTAGATCTTAAGTTCTTATGCTTATTACAAATAAACAATTTGTTTACAAACTAAACGAATGGTTTATTTTTTATTTTAAACGGAAGTTTATCATGGAGGAATTATATAAGCATTTTTTATTTTTCTTGAGAAAAAAACTTTCAATAAATATTGCAATGATTTATAAAGCAAGACCATTTTTAGATATTATCTTTTTTTTTTAATTTTTATTTTTCCTTTATACATAGTTATTTAAGTTACGGTAATGTTGTACTCCAAACAAAATCATGTTTGTAGAATCGTATTTGGAGCAACAACAACTTTGTGCCTTGTGAGAACTTTTACGTAATCTTAATGCCTTAAATGTGTTCAAAACCAACATATACCTGTCATACAGTTCATGTATAAAATAAAGTATGGACATTTAACAAAAAGAATAAAATTAAATAATATCAAAAATTTCAGTGTCTTTCAGACTTTCACTAAAAATATTTTTTTTGAAGTTACATACAAAATTGTTATTGTTTTATTGTCATTTAATATAATCATGTAGACTCTTTTTGTAAATTATGTTACATTTAGAGCTAAATTATCTTATATTTACTTCAATATATTTTATAATATTGCGTCAGAAATTTTATTTATTAATTTTGAATTACGTTCTGTTTAAAACCTGAAAACGGATAATTATATCATTTTATCACTATATTTTAATTATTTTTTATTTATCTATTTCTAATTATTCCTTTTTTTTTGTTTCTTAGCATATTAAAACTGTCTTTTTTTAATGTTGTTGCTTATATAATACAGATATTTAGAAACGCTACTATTGGGGCTCGGTGATAAGGCTAATTCATTCATTCTTCTTACTTCAGCCAATTGCATACTTTTTATATTTTTGTACATCGTAAACATTAATAAATAAACCAAACTAAACAAAAAAAACTAAGGGGACAGATCGTAGAGTTTACTCGTAGTTTATACTATTGTATCTGTTTATACTTTTGTAACTGATTATTATTGGCCGGCTTTGTTTATTTTTAATTTTAAATACAAAATCTTAATTTTTAAATTTTGAGAGATATTTTAAACTTTTACGAGTTGTATGTACTCTTGAACCACAGTTAATGTGTTGTATGTATTCTTCAACCTCAGAAATATACGATCCATTTCTTTAATTTTACGGATTGATATACTTTACACATATTCTTTATATAGATGAGGAAAAATGACATATTTTGATTCATTTTTAAAGATCTTTGTTATGTAAAACCATCAAATGCACTTAGAATTGATACCATTATATATGAACCATTTTGTCAAACCAAGTTTAATAAGTTTTGTATTACAAATCGTATACTGTATCGTTAGAATAAATTTTTTTGTCTAATTTTTTTCATTATTCAAATTCAATCCGAGGCTGCAAGCAACCAATATT